CCACATAGATCACCAAATATAACAAATAAAATGATCTTACCTATAAAGTAGACTTCTCAGGGCTTTAAAAATCTAATTATGTATTTTTAATAGGAATTTAAAATAAAACAGTAGTTGAGAATAAAGAGATGAAAAAACATTTCCAGGCACAGACTAGCCAGGTTTCATAGCTTTGTGATCCAACCAAATAGACATCAAGGCAAAAACAGGTTTAGGGATTTTTTTTTAAGCCACTACATAAATATAAATGGAACATTTTACTAGTAACATAGAATAGTCCCAGAAAGATAAAGTAATCCTAGGTATGTTAGGAAGGAAGGAACTCGGCTCAGTGACACAGGGAAGACAGATATAGTGAGACGAGAAACCAAAGTCAAGAAAGCAGTCAGTTGAACACACTCTGCAGAGAGTAACAGAGCTGGCCTGACTAAGGTGATACAGGCCCGGCTACTTACTCTGAAGCTTCTTTTATATGGTTTTGGCAGGGCAGAGAAGTCCTTGATTGACAGCTCTTAGCTCTCTAGGCTTGTTCTGATTGGCGAAATAAGGACATGGGCTGTGCCTGTGCTTCTGATGTTTCTGATCTGGGGAGACCCTGGACATTTCCGGAGTCACTGTGCAACCCTGTGGCTTCCTCTGATTAACTCTCTGAGCCACTTCTGTCTCTATCTGATCAACTCCCCTAGTCATTTGGTGGGGGGATGCGGGGAGGGGAGGCCTCTCCTTTCATCCTGCTCATTTCTGTCTTTCTGCCTAACAGGTGTATATGGGTAAGGTTATGTATCTTAAAAAAATATAAAGCAGCATTTCAGGGAACTGTATAAAGAATTTGTCAATGGACAACCACAGGAGGAAATTTTAACATACTTCTCGAAAAACTGGATACATCAGAAGAAATATTAGAAAGATGTAAGATACTTGATTATACAACTAGTACATATGTAACTGGCATAAATAATCACTGAACAATAATTACAAAAGATGCATTCTTTTTGCACAAATCAAGAACATTTTTAAAACTGTCATGCACTAGGCAGCAGAGCAGCTCTCAGTACCAAAATCCTGAGTGTTTCTGATCACCATAGAATTAATTTAAAACCCAATGAGAAAAATTATAACCACAAACCCAAATTGAAAAGCACTTTTAGTCTGTGTGTAAAAATGAAATAATGAAAAATATTTAGAACTGAGCTAATGAAAATGCTCTACATAACTTGTGAGAGGAAGCTAATGTGAACCTAGGATAAGTTAAAATGCATATGTTTATGTATATATGTGGCACATCTTCTCTATACATACATACGATGAAATATTAATTGACCATAAAGAATGAAATCTTGCCATTTGTGACAACATGGATGTATATAGAGGATATTATGCTCAGTGAAATAAGTCAAAGAAAGACACATACCGTATGATGTCATTTATATGTGACATCTAATACGCAAAACAAATGAACAAACCAAACAGAAATAGGCTCAGAGAGAACAGATTGGTGGTTGCAATGGGGTGGTGGAGTCAAGGGGTGAAAAAATAAAAATGAAATGTATATGTTAACAATGAATAACACCTGAAAAGGAATACACTAAGTAGACGGATTTAAAAAGTCATAGAAGACTAACTCCCCTGTCTTGCCAATGGGTTTCAGCCCCAGGCAGGTTCACTGTGGATTCAGTGAGACCAAGGAATGACAATGGAGTGTTCTTGGGGTGAAAGGGTTTATACCCAACTTTATTTCCACGGTGGCAGGTCAACCACTAGAATTCCATCCATTCAGAGCGAGTCTGCACACAGCAAGTGGGTCTCTGCCTCTGGGCCTCTCTGCCCCCACAGCCGTCTCAGTCTCTGTCCTCAGCGCTGCCACCACTCCACTCTCATTTCTGCTCTCCTGCAGCTGTGCAGCCATGCCACCATGTCGCTCAGAGCACAGGGCAGGGCTCTTTATATAAAGTCAACAACAATGTACTGCCCACGTGTGTAGTGAGCAAGCCGACCAGGGCCAGGTGAGAATCCTGGCCACAGGAACCTTCACTTAATCCACAGCATGGAAGGTCCCCACACCTTGCCCTGTGCATCTCTCCCATCTGGCTGTTCCTGAGTTACGGCCTTTTATAATAAACAGGTGATCTAGGGAGTAAACTGGTTTCCCATGAGCCACTCTAACAAATTAAATTGAACCTAAGGAGGGGAGGGAGTTGTGGGAACCTCTGATCTATAGCCATTCAGACAGAGCTACAAGTAAGAACTTGGACTTGTGCCTGGCCTCTGAAGTACAAGGAGGGGGTCGTGGGAACCTCCAGGCTATAGTGGTTGGTTGAAGCACAGGTAACACCCTGGGCTTATCACTGGCATGGAGGTTGGGGGCAGTCTTGTAGGACTGAACCCCAAACCTGTGGGATCTGAGGTCATCTCTCAGTAGATGGTGTCAGAATTGAGTGAAATTGTAGGACACCCAGCTGGTATCTGGAGCACTGCTTGGTGGTGGTATGGGAAGATAGCCCCACATGGAATTGGGTCCAGGAACCTGAAAGAAATTATATGTAGTAAAAATTTTAAAGCATGCATGGAAATAATAAACACAAAATTTCAGCCTAGTGATGACCTGTGCAGAGAGAAAAAAGGAAATGGATTTGAGTAGGGGTGTGTGTGTGTGTGCTTATGTATATATAATATGTGTATTTTATATATGTATCTATATATGTATACACATTAACTGTATCCAGACAAATCCAAACTTAAAGCATGTATATACAAGAAGTTATGATTCAAAAAAGCTGATTGGTGGGTAGAGACATGTTAGTATATATTATTGTACTTTTGTGTAAGTTTGAATTATTTTACAATACTTTTAGGATAACACTACATTAAATCACTTTATGGAAGGAAAAATACTGGAATTTGGACCAAGGTATTGTCCTTAAGTAAGAGAATGAGCTGCCTTTTAGAATAATACAAGTGTAAATGTAATTGTTTACCACTCACCACCCCCAACCCTTCAAAATAAAACTCAATCATCCCTTTGTACACAAGGAAACTGAAGCCTTCTTTAATAACAAATCCCTGTGGGAGCCACTGGGTGTCATCTGTAAACCTTAGGCATAGGCAGGTAAAAAAGTAAATTTAGTGACAGCCTATAAGATGAGAACAGGAAAGGAAAAGCTCAGGATATCAAGAGCCACAGGTATCTCAAGGTACTGGCCTCATGGTTCCCAAACAAGGCTTTTTTCATTCCAAAATGGAAATAGCTGTGCTCTTTTAATCTCATTAAAAAGTAATTCACTTTCTTTGGAAAAAAGCTCACTGAAAAAGTAATTGAAAGTATAACCTGTAATTGTACCAGCCAATAATAGTCACTATAAATATTTTAGTATATATTCTTCTTTTCACTTGTGTAGTGTTCACCCAAAGCAGCGTACTGTATATTTCTGTCTATCACCTGCTCTTTATGTTATAATATGTCTTCAGAATGATTCCTTATCTGGGAAAAATCTGTCACCTGTCTTTGAATGTGTGACCGCATCATTCAATATGGTCATGCCATGATGGTAGTTAGCTAAGCCACTGTGGGCTCTTCTTTAGTCTTTCTTACACACAGTGCTTCAGCAAACTCACTGCAAATGCATCTTTGAATACTTCTCTGTTTCTTTGGGATAAGTTCTTAGGAGATTTGCTGAATCAAAGGGAATATATAATAAATAGTAAGGCTTTTGGTGTCAGTCAGGGTTCTCTCAAGTTGGCGCCATCTTGAAGCAGAATTTCCTCTTCTCCAGGTAACCTCAGTTTTTGCTCTGTCACCCCATATTGATAGATATTAGTTCTTTGTTAAACATATATTTTGCATACATCTTCTCTTCATCTGTGGCTTTGCCTTTTTACTTCATGGTGTGATTTAATGATAATTTCTTAATTTTAATGTAGTCCATTTAATCATTTTTTCCTTTTGTAAGTAGGTTCTTTTCAAGTCCTCTTTAATCTTTGTCTATTGAAAGGTATTCTTACTTTTTCTTAGTTTCATTTCATGTTCAAACGTGAAAAGAGATGTAATTCATATTTACCAGTTTTCCATGGAATTCTGTTGTAAGATATTTTGCAATTCAGATTACTTATTAACCCATCAAACAGTCTTTTCCCCTGCTGGGAACAGCACCTCCCCCTCTTTATTTTGGGGGAACATCTAAGAACCTGCCTATTTGTAGCATTCAACATTCTTTGCCATGGATGTGACCTGTTGACCCAGACTGGGCTAATAATGGTACTTTCGCCCTTTGGCCATAGTCATTGGTCCAAATATGGCCTTGTGAACCAGGCTGGGACAATCAGGGAGGCAAATACAGAGCTGTTGGCAGCTTTGGCCAATAAGACTTCAGTGAAAGAAAAGCCAGTTCCAAATGAGAAGCAAAATGGAGAGACAGAGAAGATCTTATCAGTGTTAAGTCACTGGCTGCCAAAACTTAACTCCACCCTGGGCCTTCCTGTGGGTTTGGTATGCAGACCAGTAAATTCCTAATTTTTATTGAAATCTTTTTTTTTTTTTTACTTTTGTTAAAAGTCTTGAAATGAGTATGCTTGATAATGTAGTTCCATGATTAGTAAGTTTGAGAATGCTCCTAATATGTCTCACTCTTAGAGATTGACACTGTATTAAAGGGCATTGGAAAGCATGCAGTAAAAGAAGCTTGTTTCTTTTTATTTAACCCAGTGATTTCTAAACTTATGTTTAACATGCAGACTTTTTTTTATAGTGCTATCTATTAGTATCTCAGATGTGTCCAGCAGATTACTGACTTGGGAAATGCTGGTTCATAAGCATGGAGACCTCACTGCAAGCTAACAGAAGGAAAGGTGCTCTAATCTGAGCTGGTTTTTGAAAAATGCTAACACTTAACAATATATCAGCAAATCATACGTTACTCTTTAAATCTGGAAAAAGAGTCTTCTGATGAAGAAAAACCTAAAAGATAAATGTGCTGTAGCCAATCTGCAAACTGTCTCTCATGCAGGTCAGCCAGTACACCTTTGCTATGTGCAGTTACAGAGAAAAGAAATCTGAGCCACAGGAATTTATGCAGCTCGAAGGATACACTGTGGATTATACAGATCCCCACCCAGGTAACTCTAAGTTGAATTACTTTCCCTTACAGTCATGTATTCCGGAAATTCTCATAAATGTCCTGTGTCTGTTCCACATGTCAAAACTCCATTTAGTGAATAGGGTGCATATTTATGTACTTGGGCAAGACTGCATGAGATTCAGACGGTATCTTTTTGAGGGCTACTTAGTTGTAGCCATAACTCATCACTTCTGTTATCTTAGTACAAGGATGAAATATGTGAACGTTATTGTTGCAGAGAAATTATGAGAAATATCAGCAAGACTAACATAAACTTCTTTACTGGAAAGCAAAAAGGTACAGAGACAAATACGACAGAAATGGCACATGAGTTATTATATATTCTACCAGTTTTCTCCCCAACAACACATTCTTGTACTACTCTCCCTCACTGCAAATTAATACTGGATAAAATACCAGCCATTTGGTATTAAAATTGGTGAGGGAGGGAATGAATAAATAAATGAATGAATGACTATATGGAGACTAATGAAATTATTAAGATGATATTAAGAAATACAGACATTAAGGAATTAAGATGTAGGGATTAGAAATAGAAATCTGTGATCATATTCAGTAATTGGTCCCTTAAAAATGCAAAATATCTTTGCTGTGAAAGAATTTGCAAAAGATAAAATACTGTACAATATAGGCATCATTTTTGCCTTATCTGTGTTTTTTTCCTGTTAAATTCTTATATTTCTCCTACATTTACAATGACCAATGTGCCAGCAGATACTCCTTTGTTCTCTGACATGGAGTATCAGACAGGGCTATGCATTTCTGTCGGGGCAGGTTTGTATGTCTTGCAGAATGTTACTGTGTCATCGACTGTTCAGTTCCCTCAGCTATTTTTTAATTTTCAAAGTGATATGGGATTTCAAACCTTTTTTATTGTTTCCCTTCAATTCTGGGATTGTGGATTTGATGCTCAGCTAAAAATCACTTAAAGCATTGAGCTGCTGCTTTCAAATCAATCCTTTTCTGTGAGACCACTTAGTGAGTGAGATTAAAATCTGCCAATCGTACAAGTTTTTAACAATGTCTTTCTTCCTCCACAGGCCTTCAGGGTGGTCACATGTTCTTTAATGCTGTTAAAGAAGGAGACACTGTAATATTTGCCAGTGATGATGAACAGGATAGAATATTATGGGTTCAAGCCATGTATAGGGCCACAGGTCAATCATATAAGCCTATTCCTGCAATTCAAACCCAGAAGCTGAATCCTAAAGGAGGAACTCTACATGCAGATGCTCAGCTTTGTAAGTTTTGTTAAAAAATAATTTGATTATCAATTAATAGCCTTAATAAGATATAAAATGTCTGAGTCAAATTTGTTCAGTATTATAGTTTACATCATTAACGAATTCCTAATTAAATAAAAATAGTTAATATTAGTAGTCATAGAGTCAGTTATCTGATTTTTCACACAAATCTGGGGTAAATGGTGCCTGTGGTTTCCAATCATTAATTTGCCAAGCATCACAGTGTCTCACATATCACTCTCTTGTGTTGGGACACTCAAGAGCATATAAGAAAAGTCTCCAAAACTTCTCAAAAAAAAAAAAATTAAGTTTATCTTAATGTAATTTTAAACTTATGTGTCCTATAGAAATGGGAAAAGTATTGCAAATTCAAATTGGCATTGATAGGACTTCAGAATACAAAAAGGATGAACTATCACTTTCTGGAGTTGTTCTTTATAACCCAGAAGAATAATAGGGCTATTTTTCTGTGGTAAATTAATTTTTTTAAAAAGAGTAAGTCATGAAGCCAACTTCCTCTTTCTAAATACCTTAATATTTGCATCACTTTCTGTATGCTACTGTAAATATTGAGAACTATTTTGTATTCCAAATTTCAAATGATTAATAACAAATTATGTATTAATGATAGAAACATTTTCAAACATAGCTTTATAATCATTAAAACGAATGTTCTAAGTTGTTATTGTCCTTTGCAAAACTTCTCTGAGTTATCCTGCAATGCTCAGTTTTTCTAGAGCTTAAAGCTCCAATTGTGACTTTTTAATCAACATCTTTTACTCTTAATATGCTTCTCCATCTTGTAACATCTTAATCATAAATCATTCTCTTCTCCTACTTGTCATGCATCAAATAAATACTCTTTTCTTTTTAGGCACCCATCAGTATCACATCTGGGCATGTCAAACAAAGGCACAAATAATTAAAGATGGAATATGATTACCTTTAGGGTTTAAAGTGTATACATTTACACTTACCACAGTCTGTCTTCATGTGATATTAAATCACGTTATGAGTAGTATGTGAATCTTACAGTAGCATCCTTCTGTTCCTCCCCTCCTGGCATCTGGACTATTCTTGTCGTGTATTTTATTTCTACATCTAAGTCTCACAATGCTTTGCTTAATCAGTCAGTTACCTTTTAAAGACATTCAGATAATATGAGAAAATGTCATATGCTTACCTATGTGATTTCTAGCATTTATTACCATTTCTAGCTCTCTCCATTGTCTTCCAGAGATATTTTACTTCTTGAAGGGCTTCCTTTGACTTTTCTTGTAGGGCAGATCTGATGGCGATAAATTTTCAGCTTTTTTATTATGAAAAAGTCTTAATTTTACCTTTGTTTTGAAAGATAGTTTTTCTTACAGTACTTTAAAGTACTTTAAAGACTTGGTCCACTCTTTTTTTCCTCCTGACAAGAAATGTGCTGTTATTTTGTATATAATGTGCCTTTTTTTCCTCTCACTACTTTAAAAATTTTCTCTTTAATGCTGATTTTGAACAGTTTGATGGTGATGTGCCTAGGTATAGTATTCTTCATGGAAATGTTCTTGAGCTTTATTCTAAGACACAGTTCAGTTACTGGAAAGAGGTCAGTCCTTTCAAGTTTTTAAGTTTTAATCGTTTTAAGATTCGTTAGGTGAGACCAGTGTCTAGTCTAGGATTATTTTCCTAGACTTTCCTAGATACTTTTGGACCAAGATTCTTCTTGAGGACTCAGCTGATGACCCGTGACTCTTGAAGTTTTACATTCTGGCTTTGGGAACATGTTCTGTTTCAGGCTGTGTGAGTTTGGGGCACTGTCCCTCTAATCCTTTAGACTGATTCCATGGCTAACCTCTGGGAGCTGCCCGACACGCATGAGGTGCTCAGTATTCGGCTGAATGCAGAAGAAGGCACAGCCTTCCTGAACAGTCAGGCTGACCACTAGCTCTCCTAGGTTCTTGTTCCCTGGGCAAAGGCTTTGAAAGTTTCTCCTCATATTAGCCTGGGACAGATGTAAGGCTCACCTTGTTTGTTCCCCATCTCTCAGCAATCACTCTCCTGTGTTGCCTCATTTCCAGTGTTTTGAGAACAATTGTTTTATGTATTTTTTCTGAATTTTTGTTTCACATAGGAGGGTAAATCTGTTTGCAATGACATCATCGTGACCCAAAGGAGAATGATTGTTTTTTCTAAGTTAGAGCAAAATTTCTTAGCCTTGCCACTGTTAACATTTTGGGCCAGATAATTCATTGTTCCAGGACTGGGGGCAAGGCTATTCAATGAATGATTTAATGTTGAGCATCATCTCTGGCTTCTACCAATTAGATGCCAGTAGCGACCCTGTCCTCCCTCACCCCATATCTGACGACCAAAAAGATCTCTGATGTTACCGAATATCCTGGGGGCAGAGTTAAAGATGGAGAAGAATCACCCCCACTTGAAGTACCATTGGTACTTGAAATGACTCGAAAATTATTTTTGTGAAAATATTTCCCTCATTGACTAGCGTTCCACCATTTTTTCTTAACATCCTAAGTGCAAGGAATACCCAAGGAGTGTGCTGAGTTCACGGATATCATGCAACTTGCAGAAGTGTTCGGGAACCACTGGCCTAGAACATTAAGGCCATTACTACACAATATAGAATTAATGAATAAAAACTAGTAATCAGTTGATTTAGGTAGCCAGGCAATCACCAACAAAACCTTTCTGCTATTAGATATGAATGTATTGTCAAGGCAGCATTGATCAGGTTAAATGGAACCGAATTTTCTAGCCCCTCAATTAACTTGTTGTAAAAAAAGCCACACTTATTCTAAAAAGCCAAGGTGTTTCACATGTGTTAACAACAGCTTTCTTGTATTCTAGGCTTTTAGTAAAGTTTTCTCTCAGATCCTACTGTTTTACCTTCCTTTAAAAAAGAAAAAAAAAAAAAGGGAGGGGGAGGGGAGGATGAGGGAATGTGTTTCTACCTCAGAATAAGATTACTGGCCATGACCTGTATCAGAGATGCCCCCGGACTCCTCCAGAAAGTAATTTTGCCCCTAGCATTGTCCTTACTTCCTCGATACCACAGCATTCCTTTCTCTGCTGTCCTGATCATCTCTTAGAAGAACAATTCTGAGTCATTTATAGAAACTAAGAAATTAACATAAAATTAAAATGACTAGTTTACAGAAATAAATATGTTCCTAAGCCACTTAAATATTATTTGTTTTCATTTATTTGCTGACCTATAGCTTGTAAAGGTAAGTATTTTCATGGTTTTTTTTTCACTTCACTGTATTAAAATGTTTATGGTGATAAGATTTTTGAAGGAACATCATGATCTTGTATATAATGTATAATGTCAGTCTCCTACTTTCTAAGGAAACCCAGAAAGTTTGTTACCATTTATGAAACAAAAATGTCTATTTTTGCCAAAACAGAAAAGCAGAAGCAACCCAATATCTTCCATTCATGTAGTCATAAAGGTAATGGCTATAAAGTTATTACAATAGCATAAAAAAATGCTCAAATAGGTTATGTAATACATAATAGTACTAGTTGACTTCCAAGAACAAATTAATATCAAAAATGAACCAGAAAAGTTACCTTCTTTTTGATTTTATACCAAATATTTTTTAAATCCTTAAATTGGAATACAAACTTAATTTTACAAGTTTACTTTCCTGATGGATTTAGTAAGTTAAATTTCACACTTCACAGGTACAGTATGTCTTACTTTACATCAAATATATTATTTCAAATGTTGAGTATTAGTCTACTTTGTGATTCTAGGTCTGTATGTGTCGATTAAAATTGGCACCATGTGAAAATACTACCTCTATGTTATTTGCGGCAGAAAGCTGTATAAATCCATACATCTGCTTTTAATCAACTTAACAGAAACAAGCTAAAAAATTGCTTGAGTTAATAATAAAGGTGTGAAAAAACTCCTAATTAATATATCTGTCAACCGTTTCTCTTTGGTCTTCCACATACAACGTGTACATAGAACACGAATGTTATCAACCAGGATAATCTACATAAAACTGTAAAACACCAAATTCTTCTTATTAAAGGCTCCATGGGTGCTATAAAAAGAGAAGTGGTGCTTATTCGGCTTCCTGTAAATTTTCAACCTCAGTGAGAGTTTGAGCTAACAGAAAATCACAATCAGGTGCACATGGCAGAAGATGCCACGCAGGCAAACTCCTAAACAGAGGACAATTTTAACCCAGAAATGCTTGTTTACTGCTTCATTCAACTCAGTTTTGCCGAGGCAGAGACGACTGGGAGTTAGCAACGCCCTCTTCTTAGTCATCTTGGTGCTAGAACCACCTCAGGGCGCTTAGTCATCTCAGGCCTGCACAGCCCAGTGTGCAGAATGCTCAGGACCGGCCTCTGTTCCTTCCCCGGTGTCCCGTTTGCCTCTCCCCCCACTGTCCGTTTCCTCCCCTTTCTCTTTATATCCCTGATCTCTTACAACACCATGAGTGGCAAAATAATGCAACACCCTTAGAATTCGTTGCAAAGGAAAGAGAAGCATTTCATTTCTTTTTTTTTTTCCCCGTCACACTCTCAACTCTGAGAGGCCCTTCCTGGGATTTGCATTCTTGAGCACAAGGGGGCTGACTGTGGTCAGTGTTCACCAAAGGGCTCCCCCACCACACTGGGACCCGCCAGCTTGCTAATAGTCCTCGCACTGTTCTGTACACTAGCTATTTTCAAGTCAGCGTTAACTCTTTAAACTGATACTGTCAGCCTACTTATTCTTTTCTCCTGGCTGCCAACAGCTACAACCCTAAGGAACATTTAAAATTTTCAGGTTCCATTTGAATAAAACCTCTGTCATTCCTTAAGTCTACAGCAAATAGTAATCTTTTTCAATTTGGGTTTTATTCCATCTACTTTTACCACACCTGGTGACAATACCACCTAAAGACGCTGGAGTATATATCCAACTGTTACCATAGAAACTCTCCACCAGTATCCTCAATTACCATGTCCCACATCTGTAGTTAGTCCACAGGTTAATCATCACAATTTATGACAGTTTTGCAGTACATTGTTTAAGCTCATATCATGTGGGTTTCTTCTGATAATTTTCTTACATCGCTTTGGAAGACAAACTGAACTGAAATTTGTCATTATCAGTGAACACTAGATGAGTGCCATGAATAATTTCCCACTTAAAACTAGTCACTATAATTTTGTATTATAATAAACACTAATTGAGGATGTCAAGTATATTACAGTTGTAAAGAAAGTCTCCAAGCCCTGATTTTGGTTATGTAATTGACTGAAAGCACATTTCCTATTTGATCCAGATGATATCTCTGTTTTTCCTAAAGGTTAGATACAGATATGTTATGCCAAGAGAAAACTATATGAAAATATTCTATAAAAATAAATTAAGTAATATTTTAATGATAGCTGTTTTCCTATTTTCCTTTAGTTAATGGAAGAATTTTAAGTGAAGGATTTCACACAGGGCAAACCGAAGCTGTTGCCTTTTTTATTTATTTTAGTTTCTTCATAAATTCATGGAAATTAATGTGCATGGAAAATAATGATATATTAGTGCGTGGCAAAGCATATTTGCATAAAATAATTTTAAGTGTCCTTGTCAGACAAAAGAATAAGTAGAAATGCTTGATCTTTACAGCCTGTGTTTTGAAGATGGGTTAATCCATAAGAGAACATTTCACTTTCATAGAATTATTCCTGGAGAGGTTTTTTAATTGTTTTTTTCCATATAAAATTTTTAGTTTGTATGTTTTTTTTCATTGTCAACAGAGTTTATATTTGCGACTAAAATTGCTACTATGAATACAATTTTTATTGCTAATGCTAATTGTTGGAAAAGCAATTTTCCATTCATGTGTGTGATTTGGAAAGTCTGCCACATTAATAAATATATGGTTTAGAGTTATATCTCAGTAGGAAACTGCTTTATAAAGTAAGTTCATTTTTTAAAATATGATTTAGTTGTAGAAATGAACCATGAACTCATTTTACTCCCAGGAACTTGTATATTTTATTTTAAAAACTGTATACCCATTGTTTTAAAATAAAAATTTTGCCTTTATGACCCTTTATAGTAAAAGGAGAATTATGGATTTTTTCGCTGAAATTTATTACATATTCTGCTCTCAACAGATGAGCCATTAATGAGCATTATTTTTAACTTCTTGTTATGACCTTCACTAGTGAAAGAAATAATAAAATTCAGCAGATGTTTTATAAAATTAGTAATTTAATTTCATGAAGATGATCCTAAATGATTCTTTTACACTTAGATAAATGGAGAAGTGAAGATTCTAAGATAAATTTTTTAAAATACAAAATAATCTTCCAATTTTATATGTGCCTTGCATTTTTCAATATTCTGCCTCTACTCATTTGATATTATTTCACACTATCATATATTTAACTCTATATTAAAAGACTATCAGACATAATCATAAAAATACAAGGGAAGTTGGATTGTCTTGTTTCTCAGTTCAGGAAAAGCAGTTTAATAACATTTAGCATTCATCTGGTTAATACTAATTTATCACATGTAATGTATTTAATCATTCAGATAAGTAATAAGCAAATGTAATGGAATCTATATGCTACCTTTCCCATGGATCATAACCTCATACCTTACATCATCAAAAAATTTGCCATTTGTTACTTACTTACTACATTCACCTTTTGATTATCTGTCATTTATATAAGGCATAGTTTGTGCATCTTTCTTTTAAAATGTGACTCTGAAGACCTTTCATCTTGAATTATATAGTTCTTCCATCCACAGATATGGCTGAAAGTTGAACTTGACATGGATCAATATGATCTGGGCCAAATATCTAAATGTGACTGATTATGTTAGCATCATGTCCACAGATCAATATTGAGTTTTATTATGAGCCTGACTCTATAATTGGGTTTAATCAATAAACTTTTGTCTCCTTTCCTTTGCAATTTTAGGATCGCACCATATAGGTTTTAAAAACTACATTTAGCTTACAGTTAAGACTCTGTTTCTTATGATGACTAGAATGAGATCTATCTGTGAATTTTAAGGAACAATGAGGCCTCAGCTCTACCATTGTTAGGAGCATCCATTTATCTTGATAACTGACTGCTTGCCCAGTACATGCTACATTTCTAAAAGAGCTAATGTAGTAACACTCTGGCATCCCTTTTGGGTGGCATGTGGCTTTTTCCTCTCTATACTTAGTAAATAACTCACATCGAAGACTTCGACAAAACATACCATTAATGAAAGCAATCATAAAAGCTTGCCTTTGGATAAACCCGCAGGGTCTACAGGCGTTGAAAGATGCAATCTGTAAAGAACAATAGATTTGGGGCTTTGATTGAAGTGCCATTTGGGACGTTATGCTTTGTCTGCATATTTGCACAAACATGATGCTCCCTTTTTCATGTCTCTTAAACTTGGAGCTTGAGAGCATTCATTGCCATTTTTACATTAAGGTTGGTCCCATTAAAAGCTCCATACAAAAAAAAAAAACAACAACAACAAAACTGGAAGTGATCCAGCTGAAGCCTGTGTGTTCATTTCTGCCCTAGTTTGCCATTTGGAAAGCAGGCTTCTTAGCCATCATTGCTGTTCATTATGAATACACCTGGGTTCTTTTCCAGTCAGTTTCTTCAGTAAATATATACTTAAAACACATCTACTTTTCTTAAAATTAGAAAATAAGATTATTTCTGTTATAGATATAGAGGTAGCTTTGAATGAAAATAGAATTTCCTCCTTCCAAAGGATGTGTGGATTTTTCCCTGTCATTTTTGTTAGGCTCCCAGAACCTTGCACCTCATGTTAATATGCTACATTCTTGACATAATATTTTATGTAATAGGAGGTAGTCTTCAGTTATCATGAAGCATGCATCTTGTATTCAGAAACTGCATTTGTCCACTACTAAGCCAGAAAAATAAGTGTGTTCTACATGCTCTTATGAATTTACAGATGCAGACCGTTTTCAGAAACATGGTATGGATGAGTTTATTTCTGCAAATCCTTGCAAGCTTGACCACGCCTTCCTTTTTAGAATACTCCAGAGGCAAACTTTGGATCACAGGCTGAATGATTCCTATTCTTGCTTGGTGAGTACATGTCTATCTACTCCCCTGTAGGACAGAATGAAAGATTTTTAAAAGTGAGAAATACTTGTTATGAAGCAGCATTTTATTCCTGTCCTGTTTAATAACTGTAGTTGGAGTTAGGGATAAAGGATTCCAATCGATTGCTTCTCAATTTGAAAATTATACACTTGAAGACCACCGCTGTGCCACTCAATAAACAGGAGAATAGACTCAAGCAGACACTGAACTGTGGTTTGCCAGTCCCTCTGGAGAAGGCTGAATGAAAATAGAAGGCTTTAATGAAGATATAAAAACCTCTGTGATAGGATTGAGTAACACCTGTACAGACATTTTAAGGTTTAAATTCTCACCAAACATTGATATCTTTCATTTCTCTCTTTTGTTCCTTGAAAGACAACCTAAGTGATGGGGGAAAGAAAAGAAACAAAGGGATGAACAATATGACAAGAGCTCTGTGTAATAGGGGAAACCTTTGGCTTCATCTAACCCTCCAAAGATAATTTAAATTTTTTTTTAAAAAAGGAATTAAATCTGATAGCTAAACTGCTACCTTGTCTGTGTTTGTATGTATTGAAACCAGCCAAAATTTGGGATACAAAGTATGAATTCGATTTAGAAGGAATGCTTAATGCTTGACTCCTCAGAATGTAGGGATTAAACAGTAGCCTATGAACTGTATGTGCCTTTCCCAGGATTTGCACTGTAGTGGCAATTCCTCTGAAATTTTTCCAGCCAGTTTATGCCTTTTTCTATCACCACTTAGTGTCTTGGCCACCGAACATGCTAGCTGCATGCACTCTCCTTAAAATAAGATCAGACAGGATGTGCTCCCAGCTCATCACTTCCCTCTTGAGTTCCACACAGTGGGGTTAGTTACTGAATTGTCAAAAGTTGTTTTGAATGACCCCACATATCACATGGAATCTGAGGAGAGCACTAGTGTGCCTTCAGCTGTACCCAGAAAGTAGTGAGCATGGTGTGATTAGAAAGCGTGTCTGCCAGCAGGATGACTCTGGGTGTAAATCATGACTCAGCAACTCATTTGTCATATTGTCTTGAGCAATTCACTGAACATCTCTGCACCTCCACTTATAGGTCTAACATGGAGATCTCGGTATAACTACCACGAAGGATGGCTCTGAACATCAAAGATATATATAGAATAAGTTTAGTGTCTATATTATCACCAGAGTAAGAATTTGGGTGTTCTTTCTCCCTTTTTTATTTATTATAGGACCATTTTTCAGCATTTCTCACCATTTCCTTCTCTTGCATGATTACCCCATTCTCTTGTAAAACTACCCACTCTCCTTTTCTCTCTCTCTTTTTTTTGATCTCAAGGTAATCTGTATAACCCATGGAAACATTTAATAAACCAACTCCACCTAATTGTGTCCTCCAGTGTTAGCCAACTGCTGTTTCAGTTGGCATACACGCTCCTTCATACCTCATTTCAAGAGAACCCAAAACTAATATTGTGAAATATTAACTCAGTTATATTGGTAATAGAAAGACAAACAGAATAAGAACATGTCAAATATTTTAATACCCAAATAGTATACCTTTATCACTGTTAGACTCGTTGAAATTTTCTTAGTTCACATTATAAAATGTTTTTGGTAACTAGGCAATTTCAACTGCAATGTCTTCTTTGCCATTCTCTTTTTTAATTGGTTCATACAGAGATTGATTTATTTAATGTAACTCCTTATGAGGGACCCTCTAAATACTGTGCATAAATTTGACTAATTTTGAACAACAGTGGGAAGGAACAGGTTGCCTATGCTTTTCCATGGCAGTAAAGGGAGACTAGTCTAGGTGGCCAGTATCCCAAATCTGCTCCAAAATTTATGGTATTAACTTTTCTGGAAATAACATGAACACACCACTGATTTAAACCATGTCAAAAGACACTTTAATGCGGCTTCTGCTTATATCCTAACAGTGCCTTCAGAAAAGGAAATCCTAGGACAAAACGGAAAAAAATTTTTTTTGTTTCTCTTTTTCAGGGTTGGTTCAGCCCTGGCCAAGTCTTTGTGTTAGATGAGTACTGTGCCCGTTATGGTGTGAGAGGCTGTCACAGACATCTCTGCTACCTTACAGAACTGATGGAACACTCAGAAAATGGTGCTGTCATTGACCCAACCCTGCTCCATTACAGCTTTGCATTCTGCGCCTCTCATGTGCATGGCAACAGGTATTTTTACTTGCAAACACACAGTGAAATGTGTAGGGTTGACTTGAGAAGAGGGAAAAATGTGCTTCGCCATTATCACCTAGTAACAGATTTTAAATAGCAAACGCCTCTTGCAAGAGGAAAAAAAAACCCACAAAAGAAAAATGTACATCAATATGCTGTTGATTTAGATGGGCTGCACTTTATGTTTCATTTTGCTATTAAAGCCACTTGAAAGAGAGAGAGAAAGAATATCTATGAGATTCAAAGTTGCCTTTCAGTTCTTGTGTACCACCTAGTACTGGGGTCTGCACACCTAAAGTGTCATCTGTATTTCTATTGTAATGTATATGTGTGTCTGGATAGGGTTTGTTGATAGGCCTGTGTATACCTAGTGATGCTGGCTTTCCCTCTGAAATAAGCTGTCATTGATAAAGCAAGATAAATAATTAAGTTGACATAGAGTCTCTGCCTGTCCCTCCCCTAATCTCCTTAATGAACAAGTACCCCATGTAGCCCTCTGACCAGTGACCTCACCTCTTGCTCTACCAAAAGGGCAAAAAAAAAAAAACCACTTAATGCAGACTGCCACATTTATGTGTCTCTCAGCTAAAAATCTCTCTGTATCAATCTCTCTCTCTTCTCTTAATCCTGTTGCAGGGAACTTTGCCAGGGTTCTCCCCACCAAGGAGGTACCCTCATCCCAGCCCCTTTTTTGCTTCAACCATTATTTCATTTCTCTCTCTTGATACTTCCTTTCTTCCTACACACCTAAGCTTCCCCTAGCCACTCAACATAACAGAGTGGTCACGAGATACTGAAGTCAAACCACCTGGACTCAAATTGTACTTAATTATGTGAGGGTAGGGCAATCTAGTTGTGTCTCCCCTTCTCTACCCCATAAATAGTATCTCTCTCAGAAGTCATAAATTGAGGTGGGGATTAAATGCATTAATAAATATCAAGCACTTAGAACAGTGCCTTGCACAGGAGTGGTCAAAAAAGTGTTAACTGATAGCTTGCATGTCTTAAGTATTGTTACCCTGTCAAGCTACCTTTCCATTTGTTTTGTTTATCTTCCCAGCCAAATTTCTCTCTACCTTCCCACTATCTGGCTCCCTGCTCCTCATTTCGCAAAGAGGATTCTTCACCGAAGTTGGCTAATGACCTAATCCAGTAGCTTTTTCTCTGACTTCACCCTTCTTACTCTCATTGAAAAGTTGATCATGTGAATTTCCAATACCCTGTGCTACTTAAAATGCTGCTTAGCCTCCCTGATTAGTACCATCTCAGCTGGCTCTCCTCTTCTTTATGTATTTTTTGATCATCTCTTCATTAATTATTCTGGTTCCTCTGGACTCCAAGTGCAGTGTAGTGTTTTTTTCTCACTTCTGTTCTTGAACTTGCTCTCTTGTCTTTCTGAGAATTTTTCTATTTCATTGAAAAACTCTTAATTCCATAGCTTCAACTATGACCTCTCTTTATATGGATAATTCCAACCCAATTATTCTCCTAACTACAGATCTTTATTGACAATTGGTGGCTTGCGTGTTCTGCTGGCACTTTCAACTCTCTGTGTATAAAATTAAATCCATCATCCCACTAAAACAGTTCCTGTACCTGTTCTAGCTTCTAGCAGAGTGCCTGGCAAAAGTAACACTCTGAGCACAAACCTAAGTGTCAGTAAATATTTGATGACTTCATTAATTGTGTTAATATCACTTAAGTGATGGTCTATTCATATTTTATTCATCTTTTTCTTTTATCTTCTAGACCAATTTGTTGGCAGTGGCAGTGTTCTGCCTTCATAGTACTTCTCAAATTTTTCTCCCTTTTTACTATGTCCATTGTATGTGTCCTAAAGGCCGGCCTTCATTTTTTCTGGTTTATCTTTATTCATCACTCTACTGCTGTCTTCTCCCTATTGTAGTCTAGCAATCACCTTCAAAATTACAAGTTCATTTCTACCATACTGCCTTTCAGGTAACTTAAGGATTCTCATTTCATTATTAAATTAAAAATAACTTCTGAGCTATAATATTGAGGTATAATATTAAGGTATAATATTAAGGTAATATTGGTAAATGATAATTTACCAATTATCATCTCGTCCTATCTACCCAGTCTTATCTCCAAGTATTCTTCTCCACATAATCCTTATACCAGACCACCTGTTTATTCTCCATGCTATGGTTCTCTTTTTCCAAGCTGTGACAGTCAGGTATCACAAAACTCATTCTAAGACTTCTATTAATTCATCAGATACTAAAAATATTTTATCTGTAGCTTTCTTATGAAACTTTATCATGTATACTTACTTGCTGCACACACACACATGCACACAGGCATGCAAGCCTGTTTCTTTTCTACCCAATTGTATTTTGAAAGCAAAAACTAGTTTTCATTTATCTGTTATCCTCTGTAGACCTTTCCATGGTGCTTTGCATGTAGTGCATACACAATAAATAGTTATTGAATTGAAGTGGTCACTGTTGCCATTTCTCATCCCACAGTAAATAAAACCAATCTTAGAATCTCAGTTTGTTCAGGCTTTTTCCTCATTATGGAGCTCATCCTTACTTGGAAATAAGGGGCATTTTGCAGACTGTAGTCATTTTTCCCATTACCACAAACTAAACCATCTGCATTCAAGAAACTTAGTCAGTGGGGAGGAGGGCTGCGAGAAAGAGGACAGGCAGGATGGCTTATCTTTGATAGCCAGCATGAGGGGCTATTTTAAAATTGTCTGTCTTCCGGCTCTGTCTTAATTCCTCCTGACCAATGGGTATTGAAAGATAGGGCTTCCAGTATTAGGCATCCTTTGTAAATACAGGAGGATAAGAAAGTTGTAGTGGAACAGACATACCCAAAGAATTCTGTATAATCAGATTATTTTAATCATTAACCCAGAAAGGTAAAATTAGGTTGAGAACATTAAGGAGGAAATTCAGCTAATGCTCCCCCAAAATATAACTGTTTGAGACAAATTTTGATGGAAAGTTATGGAGGCACCTGGGAACTCCTGCCACTGCCTGGAAGGCAGCTTGACTTGAATCTAGAGGTTGCCACAGTTACTTTTATTCTGTAAACTTGTTTTCTTAATAATGGTATGCTGTAAAGTATAATTTAAGGTATGTTTATAAAATGTTCATGTACACATTAAGTCTATTTTCTGAGTTAAAATGTGTACACATAGGATCCCTGGGTGATGTTTTAGAAATATGAGTCAGACCCTGATTCAATATTTAGGTCACATGTAGCTTTAAAAAAGGAAGGAAGAAATACAGATTTTAAGAAAATTTGAACTTCAGTTTCAGGTAGAAATTATCCAAGATAGGCTGAAAGGTATGACATTTCCTATAATTTTTTGAAGTCTAACATGTCATTAAAAAATGTCATTCTATCACAATGAGACAATGAAAAGAGGTGAAAGATTTCTACTTGAATCTTGACTCTGAAATTTACAAAGTGACCCATGTTGGGCAAATCACTTAACCTTGCTGAAACTCAGAGTTCTCATATGTAAAAAGGGAAACACTAATGAGAAAGTACTGGATAATTATGAAACACTATATTCAGTATTGATTAGTTATTATTCTAATATGCTTTCCTTTGTCACTCAGCCACAAGGAAATAATTGTGAGAGGGGGAAAAACATGAAAAAGAGGCCGTTAGAGCTGCAGTACTTCATGCTTAGTAGAAATATTTCCGTGTGTGTGTAATTATACTCTTAATTACTTTGCTAACAGAATATTCGGTTCTTAGCAACCTCCCTTTGTGAAAATAAGCTTCTCTTATCCATATCTGCAGCATGTGATACTTATACGGACTTTGATTTAAAATACTGTGACTTTTTTATGGTGTTTGCCATATTCTCTTTTTATGATCATTTTTACATCTGTCAAGACACACTTTCAGAGAGTCCTTTTGCTCATTACCTGAACTACCTCTGTCAGAAATTCAAAAGGGAAAAAGATTGCCTTTTGTTATTGACTGAAGTGAAGGACAGCAGTGCTGTCTGGATCTGAATTTTTTCTGGGAGCACATGGATTACACCGCATTGAGCTCTCTAGGTGTTCTTGCCCACACATCTTCTCTGAATAGCACTCTGAGTGTTTTGAGAATAAAAGAATAGAGTTAAACAGAAGAGGTCTGGCTAGTACTAAGACTGAGGAAGAGAGATAAAAAGAAAGAAAGGTAGAAAAAGTGAGTCAAGGACAGAAGCAGAGACATTCCTGCAGGACGATAGCCACACATGTCCATGAATAACACAGCCACTCACTCAGCAATAGTGCCGCCAAGGACTGATGGGAAGGAGAAAAGAGACTTTCAGAGGCAATGAATTATAGGTCAAAGTTCTAGGTTGATATGTGTGCCTACACATCTTGGTTTTGCTAGGCAGACTGAGGGTGGAGAAACTAAAGCAGCAACACAGAATGGCTGTTATGTCCCAGTTGAATATTAGACATACGGTGCATTCACTGACTCCTTCTGTTCGGAGAGCCATCTCAGAGCTGCTACACGCCTAGCAAAGGCCAGCTCAGAAGCACTGACTTCCAAGCACAGGGCACAGGAATACAACACATGACAGTTTATGTATAAAAGAATCCCTATTTTCTGTGGATTCCAGATCATATCACAGAGTATCAGGCAACCCTCGTGAGCATCAGTCACATCATTGTATCATGATACCACTGGCTTCATGAATGATAGCGTTTCCTCTGACATATCACTTCAGAAATTATGCCTCAACTTCCTACCTTCAATGTTAGAGAAAATGATGTATTTCTGAATAAAACTATAGACAATTGCATCAAATAGGTTCATGAAGAATTTTATTACCAGTTCTTAATTCTAGTCTTTGATGCATGACTTAGAGAAAGTAAGTGTAAATGTCACACCAATTGTGAATCTAGAGACTCCACTCCTGGGACAAATTGGCAACCAGTTCCAGTGTCATAAGCAAGGTTCTCCTTATGTAATGTAGCTGATTGGTCAGAATTCATCTTGCATGCTTCTCG